TCGGGCCCAACGCGTCCGTAACGTACCAAATTTTCGAACTTCAGCGCTGGGCACCGTCAAGCGATAACTGGTCGAGCGACCACTTGTCGTCGCTGCTTGGCGACCGCGCGCCGTTCGAGAGCAAGCAACGCCGTGGTGGCACATTCCAGGAAGCACTTCCAGACGCATTAAAAGAGCAGCCGATCGCTGAGGATGGTCCATGGGCCTTTTCGGTTTCGGGTGCCGACGGCGACGGGTGGCGCTATGGCACGTCGGGCAACGGGCCGTGGCATCCCGAGACGAGCACGTCCCGCGTGGTGCGCTGTCGCGAGTGGCACAAGACCTACTATTATCGTGAACCATCGATCGTCGAAGAACGCTAACTAACCGAATATCGTCCATTTGCATTGCTCTTGTTCGAAATACAAGGGTTAGGGTCTGGATCAAATTCGAAACCAATCAGTATTAATACCACCATATGCTCCACTCTACACACCGTCACGTGTAAACGGCGCTAGCTCGCGTAAGCGTCATCGACGATTGCATCCTAGCCATCTATCTACTAGTATTATATCATATATAAGCTGCGCTAAAATATATTAAATAATCGTCATGCATTATGTGTGCTATTTTGGCATGATCGTGCATGAGGTTCGTCCAACGACGTCATCAACGGCAACCAACGCGCTGTGAACATGTATTCCCCTGGGCCAACGCACCCAACCGTCAGCTTCTCCGCCGGCGTTGACGGCCAGTATTTCTTCGGGCACATATACACGACATAAATGGTAGCTGGTCCACATCGCCGAGTGTCGGGGGGCGTGCCTCGCCACGCCGGCGCGCGCCGACTCTGCATCGCTTTGGAAAAAGTCACGAATCTTCCCGCCGCCGACCCCGACCTCAACACCAGCGATCCGTACGTGCTCATCACGCTCGGGCAGCACCAGTGGCAGAGTCCGCTCGTGCGCAAGACGCTGCACCCCGTGTGGCGGGACCAAATGTGCGAATTTCTCGTGACGGACGACGACGTCACGACGCACCCCGAGCTCGTTGTGTACGTCAACGACCTCGACACACTGCGTGTGGAGGACGCGCTCGGCGTTGCGCGATTTCCGCTCACCAACTGGGCGGGCGCCACGCAGATCCAAGACGCCAAGGTCCAAGCGTACCCGCTCCAGACGCCCAAAGACACACATAGCGTACGGTGAAGTCGGGCCTTTTGATGTCTCAACATGTTGTGATTTTAGAGCGCGCAAATTCACTTGAGTTTGTGCTTTGAAGGCTGGCTCGCGTCGTTCCCGGTTGTGGTGTGGGAAAACGAGCGCTGGCTACCACTTAGCAACAAGTGGTCCAAGGACTATTTGGCCCATAAACTCGGCGACCGCTTGCCGTGGACCGGCCCCGAGCACAGCGCACTGCTCTTCAAGGACGCAATTCCGCCGATTCCAAGCGCGTTCCAGGCCAGAGGGTCGTGGCAGTTTGACGTGCGCCAAGGCGACACTGACGGCTGGCTCTATGCCGCGTCCTTCAAAGGCCCGTGGAAAACGTCGATGCACCCGACGCACGTCGTGCGCACGCGAGCGTGGACCAACGAGTACGCGCTCGTCGTCTCGCCCCCCAAACCACCCAAAGCAAGCTCGTAGCTACGTGTGATACAACTCTTTTCATTGGACTCGATAACTTCTTTGATACTATCACCACCTTTTTGCTGATGCTTAACACTGTACCTGGCTGTTGCTAGTATGGTTTGTACTTGGTGGGTGGGTAAGCCCTATGTTTGTCATTCAACTCGTTTCCAGCTGCAACGCTTCTTGCATCTAACGACGATAAACTATCGAGAGAGGAAAGGTACCTTTATATATATTTACGCCACCTTTTATATCGTCATTTTTATGCTAGTATATATCCGCAGCCTGTACATGCGATGTGTCATATTTATCATGCTTCATGCTTTTGGAGTAAGAACTTTTTTTTTTAAATATGTTGAGACAGTATGCTTAGCGTCATTTCTGATGCTGGTATATTATTTGTCAGCAGTGTGTTCATGCGATTTGTCCTTAGTTTTTCTGCGTGGAAAAAGGAGGCTTACGGGTTACATGAAGCTTTATAGTAACCACTGGGCTATTTCACAACGCCCGCTTCTGTAGGGCTCGGGTTTGTATCCATTTATGTGGTTGCCACGTATGAGCTTGGTGTTTGTATACTTGTGTTTCCCACGCGTTCCCCACTTTTCCACGCGTGTATTGTTACACGTGAAAATGCCGACCATACTATAATGCAATGATATATGGCACACAATTTTACACACCTGTGAAAAACACATTCACGCACTACGCTTCCGACGATAGTGTACCAAAACATGATGCAAATATGAGTTATAGACACACTTTAACGTCTTTCACTTCGGTGGGCGAGACATCTTCGTGCGGGACGAGCGGAAACAGCTGCTCGCCTCGTCGGGACGCCGTTCGCTCGGCAATGACGACGGCCGCAATGCTCGGTCCCGCCTGGCGGGGCGTCGACTGGAACATCATCTTGAACTCCTCGAAGTCGACCGTGCCGTCGCCCTTGATATCGGCGCTCTGAACCATTTCCTGGAGGTCGCACGCTTGAATGTTCTTGAAGACGCTTTGGAGGCCGACGACCGAGATGCGCCCCGTCTTTTCTGCATCCAGCATCGAGAAAGCTTCCTTCATTGTCTCGTCGCCAAACTCGTCGAGGACCGCAGCGACAAACTCAATGTAGTTGATCTTGCCGTGCTTGCTCTACATCACAATAGTACACGCTCCGTATGAAACAAAAATGGCAAAAAAATACAGGTAAAATACCTGGTCCATGCGGGCAAATGCGTCCATGGCTTCGTCGTGGCCAATGCCATAGTCTTCGAGCGCCTTGCAAAACTCGGTTGCATTCAACGTCCCGTTCTTGTCGAGGTCCATGCTGTGAAAGACCTCGGCGACGATTTCCGGCTTGCAGTGCGCCTCGCCGACGCCCATGGCCATCGAGAGCATCGCCGTCTTTTTTAGTTTGTTTTGACCTTTGCCAAAGTTGACCATCTTCATAAAGAGCTGTCGCTTGTTCTCGTCAATGACGCCGGACGCCGATGTGCGCATCCAGCGGTGGTTGAGCGCTTGCTCGGCCGAGAGCCGCTCTAAGTTCGGTGTCACTTAGGCCGCTGCGAAAGAGGCGCATAGGTACCGTCCGGGTCGTCTTGCATGAGCGATTTGATAAAGTTGATGCAGTCGGGCGAAATGTCTTTCCAGATGTCGCCTTGGAAAAAGCTCGGCTGGATGCCATCAAAGATCTTGCCCATCGTCTCGTCTGTCGTCTCGCCGTGGAACGGCGACTTGTGCGTAAGGAGCTCGTAGCAGAGCACGCCGATGCTCCAGAGATCACACTTTTCGTTGTAGTCGCCGTCGAGCACTTCGGGTGCGACATAGTCTATTGATTGTGAGTTCAAACTCGGGACGGACCAAGGTTGTACCGATCGTGCCCAGTGATTTTTGCATTCGCTCACCCTTTTTCATAAATTTGCTCAAACCAAAGTCACAGAGCTTGAGCGACGTCATCTGGAGCTCGTTTTCCAAGAGCAAATTCTCCAGCTTGAGGTCGCGGTGCTACGACGCGATGTGTGAGAGCACTTGCGGCCTGCATTCGTACCGTGATCTGGTTCGAATGCAAGTAGGCCACCGCGCGGAGCAAGCACAGAATGAGCTTGCGCACGTCGGCCTCGGAGAATGTCTTGTCCGACTTGTACAAGTGGTCAAAGAGCTCGTGGCCAGGAAGCAGCTGCATGACCATGTACATGTGCTTGGCATCTTCGTACGAGGCAATCATGCGCACGATGTTCGGGTGCTGGAGCCGCTTGACGATGCTAATTTCGTTGAGGAGCGAGCTCTACACGCATCGTTTGACCTGTAGCGCATACTTGGCAGTGCGCACCTTGTCGAGCGCGTTGCCGAGGTCGACGATCTTGACCGCCCAGACCTTGCCGCTCTTGCGATTTGTGGCGCGGACGACGCGGCCAAAGGAGCCCTTCCCGAGCTCCTCGTGGAACTCAAAGATGTCGTTGATGTCGGACACGACAGTGTGCTGGACAAGCTCGGATGCGAGGTCGTCGGGCAGGTGGTCGTCAGCCATGGGCGCCCGCATGTTGCGCAGGCCCGGCGTGCCCACGTGGTCGGGCTTGGAGCTGTGGCATCCCATGGCGGCGAGGTGGCGGCGGCGACGGCGACGAGCTGGCAGCAGCGGCGGCGAGCAGTCCAGCCCAAGAATGCGGGTTCAACGTATTTTTCCCGATCCTGGTGTAACGCGCCGTGTGTTTTTATAAATGTTGCTTGGTATTTGTATGCCGACGGATTATTATTATTTCACACCGTTTCGAACCTGTGAGAAATACAGAGCGACCACCAACGATCTATTGCGTCAAATAGTGTTAAACGCGACCTCTGTCGCAAGCCATTGCTGCAACATGGACACAGGCATTATACGCCACGCAAGCATGCCCCGCCACACAATAATCCTTCAAAAACGGGTTGTGGGCAGCGTGCAAATGCAACAGCACTGAACACTGCCGGCGATTCTGTTCTACATACACTATTTGATGCCACATCCTCCCAATCATCTCCATACAAGGTCACGATGTGATGTGGCATGGCTGCAGATGATCGCTTCGTCTCAGGAGAAGAATGTCCACTCAGCGTCGTACTCTCGGCAAGGAGCTGCAAGCTACTTCCTCCTCGTACAGTCCATTCACCTCGGGGATCAAGGCACTACGTCGCTGTAGCTTTGTTGTTTCAACCATGTCGCCTTGACTCTGTAGACTCAATGTAGACAGCATCGCAGCCACGCCACTCGTTTGTGCATCCTTGACGTCAGCAAGCCTTCCCCGACATTTCTCACAAGGTCAATTTTGGTGCAGGTGGCGGCGCTGGCTACTTTTTTATTTTTCACCATTTCACACACGTGAAATGCACCTTGGTTTCACACACGCGCGAAACCCCCAGATTGCAGTTGATGCTATGGCGGGGTCGACGCCCGTCAGCGTCCTGTACGACTATGTCCCTACAGGTACGCACATCTACGTTCTGAGTGCATCATACAGTTGGCGCAGAGCCCGACGAGCTGGAGCTGCGCGCTGGCGACACGCTTCAAGTGCTCGCGTACCTCGACGACGGCTGGTGCCAGGGCTACGTCGATGGCGCGCCGGACGACGTCGGTCTCTTCCCGTCCAACTACGTGCGCAAGATCGAGCACAAGGTCGAGCACGCCAAGCTCAACTCGCATCTGCCGCCATTCCGGAGCAACCAGACCGACGTGCTAGATCGTGTCCGCGCCCTGCACGACTACACTCCCCAAGGTACAAGCCCACCCTGTCGCAACTTGCCAATGTACAAACTGTCGTAGAGGCGGACGAGCTCGAACTACACGCTGGCGATATTGTCGTTGTGACCAAAGAGCAGGACGATGGGTGGTGTCTGGGGTACTTGGCCGCGAGCCCCAGCGTCGAAGGCCTCTTTCCAGCCAACTACGTGGCCCCCCTCCAAACCGGCAACAGTTCCAAAAGCAACAACAACAGCAGCGACGCCAGGCGCGACGAGACGTCGCCGCCAGCGACCGAGCACGAAGTGGACGAAGACCCCTATTACATGCGCAACCGGCGACCAAAAGAGGTCGCCAAGCCAATGGACGAACCTGCACTCGACGAGCCACCACCGGTCGCCAGCGAGGCATCCGCGTCGGATGGATACTACGACGCCAGAGGCTTCTACATCACGGCAGCGGGGTACTACGACACGCAAGGCACGTTTTTCCCAGCGTCGACGCCGGCTGCAACAACAGCAATGACAACAACCAATGACAACGCCGCGGTCAGTGACGCCGCCGCGGGGTACTATGACGAGTACGGCAACTACATTGTCGACGGCGGCTATTACGACACGGAAGGTCTCTTCCACGCCACTGCAATAGCCGTCGATGGAGCGATCGAAGGCGATCGCACAGCGCTACCACCAGCGGAAACTAGTGCGTTCGACGTCGCGTTGGCTTCCGAAGCCGACGAGAGTGCGGCCATGCCCGACGCTTCATCGCTGATCGCAGTCGAGCCGAGCGCCGAGTATGATAACCCTGTGTGCGACGGCACCATTTCAATCCTGGACGGGAACGCCGAGGTACCCTCTTGGCCGCCCAGGTCCATGGATCTTCCAAGCGGCGTTGAGAAGAGCGGTGACACCGACAACGACGAAAACGAGGACGATGAAAGTGGGATCGGTGCCAAGCGTCAGTCGGTGCAGCAGCTCAAGCGAGCTCTGGAAAAGGCCAAGCGGGCAAGCGAGCGTGCCGAGCAAGCGCGTCTGCAGGTTGACATGGCAAACCTCTATTCTAAATGGCCACCAACGGACCGTAGGCCGAGCGAGACATGGAGTTGGAGCTCGAGACCCGACGCAAGGCGCTCCAGCGCCAGCTCGACGAAGAACAGGCCGCCAAAGCCGTGGAAGCGTCACTGCACGCCCAAATGCACGCAGAGCTGCAGAGCACGCAAGAAGCGCACGCCGCATCCACGATCCTGCGATCGTTACGTCATCACACGTTTCGACAGCGCCACGCAGCGCATGTGCGCGACAAGGCGCACAAGCGAGCGGAGCTGCAACGCCAACAACAGGCTTCTATCAACGACCAAAAGCGACAGCGCGAAGCCCAGCGCCAGGCCGCCGCCCACGTCCTGCAGCGGTCGCTCCGCCACCGCGTCTTCAAACGCCGGGCGCAGCAGTCGCACGCCAAGTGGCAAGAGGCCAAGGCCAAGAAACTCAACCCCAAGCCGCGTCGGTACCACTCCAAAGTGCACGTGACGGCCGCCAACCGTATTCAACGCGCGACACGCGACTACTTGGCGTGTAAGGAAGCCAAAGCGACTGCCAACGACCTCCGAAGCCGGCGAAAGGCCAAGGCGCCGGCCAAAGCAAGGGTCATTCGGCCGCAAAAAGAGAGTCTCGTATCCAGTGCCAGCACGCACAGTCTCTTGTACGCCTCGCGGAATCCGTCGTCGTCTGAGCTTCCAGTGCTGGTGCCACTCTACGCGACGGACGTGGCGCAGATCTCGCAGCTCGCAACGCTGATTGCCAACTCAGTCAACCTCGAGGTACATGGCTTTGGTTTCTGAGGTGACACACGTATTTGCTGTCTAGCTCGGACGACGACTCGCCGAGCACGATGCGCACCTTTCTGACCTCACAGCATCCATGCACACGCTGCAACACGTCATTGAAAAGCACAATGCAGCGCTGCATAAGGTCTACGACCAAAACGAGCGCCTGCAATATACGCTCGACGCGAGTCCGCTGCGAAAGCGACAGGTGATCGATACCAAAGTCTCCCCGATGCCGCTGAGCGCGGGCCCACCCGCGGCGCTCAAGCCGTTGCCTCCGTCGCCAAAGCACATTGCTACCAAGCAGCACCGGCACCCGTCGCCATTGAAGCCCGAACTTCCATCCCCACCCAAGTCCTTTCTTCCGTCGCCGCCAAAACCTCGCGCTCTGTCGCCGCCAAGAGCTCGTGGTCCATCACCAACAAAATCGATGGTCAAGCCCCCGCTTCGGTCGCCCCAACACCACACAAGAACCGCCGTCGTCAAGCCGTCGCCACCGTCGCCTCGGCAGGTGCACAAGCCGGTCGCACCGTCGCCGACGCAGCGAGTCGCCATGGCGCCGTCGCCAAAACTTGTACAACCAAGCCCGACCAAGACCCGACTCCCGCAATTGCGCGGTGTCAAGCCCGTCCAAGGACTCTACTACAAAAAAGCCAAAGCGACAAGCAACAGTGGCAAGAGCCCACCGCGCTTGCGGCCGCCCCAAGGCTTTAGCTCCAAGCTCAAAGAGCCGCCACGATAGCTTGTCCACTGTAGAAATCAAGTAGCAACCCAGTCGTTTTTGCCGCAGCTCTCGGTCGTAGCCGACACATTGCCTATCGTAGCTGGCAAGTTGTCTTGGGCGATGCGTTGGAGCACGACGGCCCGAATTCTCTTATTTTTGAGATAAAGTTGACAGGGCTGTTCTCATTCATCACCCAATTCGTGGACTTTGTAGTATTCTATGTTACCGTTGTCGTGATACTCTACGTAGTATTCATATTGTCGGTGCATCTCCGACAATAGTGTCCAACATCACACCAGTTGATTGGCGTGCGTGCCCACGACGATGCACCAATCAGAAGTGAGGATGCGCGGCAGGATGCACCAATCAAAATCAAATTCGCATTTTCAGCACCATGGGGAAGCGCAAGGCAACGACTACGAGCCCGAGTCTCCTCGAGCCGTTCGAGGTCTTGGTCGCCGATGGCGCTAGCGCCGACAAGCCCTCGCTCGCTCTCGTCCGGGACATGGTCCTCGACCTCTTCCTCGACAGCAACATCGATGCCATGCAATACCTCGTCATGCTTGTGCTCACCGACGCCGCACCTTCCATCGTAGCCGCGGCGCCGGCCGATAGCCTTCAGTTTGGTGTGCGCCTCGCCGACGGCGACGCAATCCCCAAGGTCGACGCCACGCTGCTGTACACGCCGACGACCAAGCTCGACCAGGAAGCGGCGAAGAAGATGCAAAAAAAGCTGGTCAAGAAGAAGATCAAGAAGCTCAAGAAGGCCGAAGAAGAAATGGGCCCAGCGTTCTACGTGGCGTCAGACGATGAAATCGCTGAGTACTTTCGGGCGCTACCGTTCGACACCAAGGTCGCGGACGACGGGACCGCGTTTGTCGCGACGGCGCCAGCGACCTCGCCGTCCTCATCGCAGCGGATGCTGGCGCTCGACTGCGAAATGTGCAAGACAACGCGCGGTGTCGAGCTCACGCGCATCTCGATTGTTGACGAAGAGTACAAGGTATATATGTTGTTTTGTCGTACAGCAAACTGACTTTTTGGGAATTAGGTGCTCTTGGACGCGTTTGTTTTGCCCGAATGTCGGATTGTCGATTATTGCACGCAGTATTCGGGCATCACAAAGGAAACGTTGGAAGGCTGCACCAACACCCTTGCCGATGTAGCGTACTTCTTATCCGCAAACGACTTCTTATTGGCGAGACATAGATTCAGGCCAAGGTCCTCGCCCTCGTGGACGCCGACACGATTCTCGTCGGCCATTCGATCGAGAACGACCTCTTGGCGCTGCGCTTGCTCCACCGCCGCGTCTTGGACACGTCGCTCTTGTACCCGCACCCCAAGGGCCCGCCGTTCCGGTCCGCTGTATTTTTTATTATTTTCGAGGGTTTTCTCAACGTTGATTAGGTCGGCGCTGCGCTTCTTGACGGCCACGTACCTCAAACTCCAAATTCAAAACGATGCATCGGGACACTGCAGTATCGAGGACGCGACGTGCACGATGAAGCTGGCGCAGGTGCGCACCCTTCTGCTGGCAAATCAAATCTCAAAACTGAATCTCAATAGCTCAAAATCGAAAAAGGCCCGGGCTTTCCAGGCACACACGCCAAGCAGCACGCGTCGCGAAAGCTCGTGAGCGAGCTCGCGAAACGCAAAAAGTCGGCGTTGATTGTCGACTCGGCGAGCGCGTGCCGGTCCCTCGCCGGAAGCACAGCCGGCGCCATTCCGTGCCCGACGCTCGACAAGGTTGTCCATATCGTCAAGCAGCAGCTTACGACGGGCTGTGCGCCGCACTTTACATGGGCCCGCGCTGCGCTGCCGACCGAATTCGATGCGGCCGCCGTATCCGCTCTTGTCGCGTCCGTTCGCGCAGACATGCCACCGGCGTCGATGCTGCTCGTGCTCACGACGCCGCCCACGACCGAGCTCAAGGAGCTCCACTCCATTCGCACGTCGCGCGGTGACCCGCGTTCGTCACTCCTCTGGGACAAGACGATGCAGACCAAGCTCGATGGCGTCGCGACGACTGCCCAACACGGCACTTTGCAGCTGTTTGCGACGCCACCGAAAAGCGCCGAGTAGATCACTAAGAATACTACAGCATTACGAAAGGTCGTTGACCATCCGACAAGTACGGAACCGGTGCCAAGTGGCCTAGGGGAGATGAAAGAGGATCGGCCCATCCTACTAGCTACTTATTTGATATCGTTTCTCGGGTCTAAAATACGCTGGCTGCCCCGTTGCACCCACACCACGGAGGCTCTTACAAGTGCAAGATGTGTGCAATAGATGATATTTACATTTGCGGGAATCAAATTGTCGTTTTGTTCGTTTTACCACCTAATATCCATTTTGCCATTCTTTTTGTTATCCTTTGCTGCAGTTTATAGAGACTTGGTTAGTCAAGTCGAGGGGTAAACAGGAGGGAAAACCGACGACTCATCATAACGCCGCATGGCGCGCTATCAGATATCACTCGTGACATCCAAAGTATAATCCACTTCCGTCGACGGGTTGCGAAATTCGAAATTATACGACAAATTATACTATCGCGATCGACTCTCGCAGGAACCTGTAAGAAAGCATCCTCTCCCATAAAATCGAGTGGCCGATCCGTCAAAAATGAGCCGAAATGCCGTGAAGAAACTGCAGACAATCGATATCCTGGCAAGGAATATCCCTAACAGCATATGCAGTTCCGCGGGAAAAAATCGTTGGTCGTCATGGCGCTAACTAGTATCATTGTCGTCGGACATTCTTCAAGTCGATCGTACAACATGCCAGCGCACCCCGAGACGTCGACCGCGGAGGAGAGCAGCGAAATCGAATCGCGTGTCGTCTCGGCGGACGACGTCAAGAAGGAGCGAAAGACGCGGTATGTCTACAGGGAAGCGGACGATATCCGCCTCCTTCAACAAGTCCTCGGCGACCAAGGTCTCTTCGTTGCCGGAGCCAAGCCTGCCGCCCAGTGGCGCTCTATTCACCAGTGCCTTTACGACGAAGGAATCGACGTCTCCCAGCATAGCCTCATCCAACGCCTCAAGACCATATACAAGACGTTTCTAGACCGGTCCTCGCCGATAGCAGTTGGTAGCCCTTTTCTAGCTATATTTTCGTCCATTGGTCATACTATGTTTAGGTGACAAGGACCCGGTGGACGAGAAGACCACACTTTTGATGGAGTACCACGAACTTGTTCGAGAGGGCGCAACGGGCAAGCGGAAGACGCGCCATGTCGAGATCGCGACCCAGCGCAACGAGGTCGACCGAATTTTGTCTCGCGACGCTGCCCTTGCGTCGGCCGGCTCGAACGAAGAAGGCGAAGAGGTCCACGAACGTAGTTGTCCGCCCAACCGCAAGGTCGACGCCAACAGCTACCTACAAGAGATCCTCCGCCTGCACGCGATGGAGCAAGACGAAGCAACAGCAACCAAAAAACGACGCCTGGCGTTGGAGCAGCGCCAGCTTGACTTTCAGCAAACCATGTTGGAGCAGCATCGCAGCTTCCAAGAACTTGTTGAGCAGCAGCGCACCTTCCAGGAGCTCATCCTCGAGCAGCAAAAAGTAATGACGCAGCTTTTGCTGCGCTTTGTAGACAAGCTTACCTGACAATGCATTACTCTACTAAGCTCGTCAATATTGTCCATAGCTCGGTGCACACTAATTGGGCGCCGCGTTTTTAGATATCAACATTATTTTCCTTTTCAACCCACGGCCAATGCCACTTTTGACAAACGACACCATTCAGGTGGCAGTCACCAAACGAGACATAACCTTTCAACTAAAACAATGCAACAGGATAGCGCAGGACGCTTGAGGTTCTCCGATTCAAATACGTCATCGCGAAAGCGGATGTAAATCATGCCGGGACCGCCGCTTCACCGCGCTCTCTTGCCAAAAGAAAGTTCGCGCGTTGGCAATCTCGGCTCGCACGTCGTGAATGCTCCGTGGCACCTTGTAGTGCGGGTGCACTTGGTGCTTTGTCGATGGTTTGAACTTGCGCTCGAGCGAGACGCCGCCCGTGGGCACGGTCAAGTGCCACGGAATGTGCACGCCGCCGGGGGCTTGCAGCGTGCTTTTCGTGCGAATGTGTTCGCGCAACGGCGCAAGTGGCTGGTTGTGCCGCAGTAGCTCTTGCACGTCGCTCCGTAGTGGCCGAATGTCGCTTGCGGCGTCGAGTTGCCGCTTTACAAAGGGTGTGAGGCACACCTTGTACGGCGCCGGTGGCTCGATTGGCTCGGACAAGGTCGAGTCCCCGCTTATCGACATGTGCTCCCAGTCCGTCTCGATCATGGTTTCCAGCACGAGATCGTCCGTCGGTTCGGTCGCGGGCTCGGCAAGGGCACTCGAGCGGCTCGACGACGGCTCGTCAAGTGAGAGCGGTGGCAACGGCAGCCGCCCGTGGTGGGCCTTGCCCGTCGGCGATCGCTTTGGTGACTTGGCCATGTGCTTGATGTGCACCTGCGTCTTGGCTTCCTTGGAACGGCGAAGGAGCTTGGAGGCAATTGCTGACGCCGTCTCGATCGAAATGGGCGGCGTCGGCATGGGTTCGTCTTCCTTGAGCAAGTCGTTGAAGTAGGCTTCGAGCGCCGTGTGTCTACACCACGGCACTATAGTCATCTCGTTTTTGAACAAAAGGTGATACCCCCATTGCCGAGCAAGAAACACCGCGTTGCGCTTGTCTTCGTTCAGAAGCGAGAGGTCGGCGCCGTACTCGAGCAAGACGCGCGCTGCAATCTAGCGCAAACCGTCAATCTCCCATTGGTCTATAAACCCCCGAAAAATGCGAAAATGCACATCCTAAATAAAAATAAAAATAAAAGACCTCGTTGCCTTTCATGGCGGCCAAGTGCAATGGTATGTTGCCTTTGCCCGACCGCGCGTTCACGCCAATGCCCTTCTTGATCAAGAGACGCATGGGCACATCGTCGCGGCAGTACGTCGCGAGGTAGTGCAACGACGTGTGGCCCTCACGGTTCTGACACGCAGGGTCGGCACCGGCCGCCAAAAGCAGTTTAATCGTTTCCTACGCTCTTGTTAAGGGCGTTCGAGATGAAGATGCCGCGTACCGTGTCGGCGAGGAGCGAAGCCATGAGCAATGGCGTTTGCCCCAAATCGTCGACCACATCGACCATGACGTTGCAGTCGATGAGCGCTTGGATGAGGCGGTGGTTCCGAAGCCCAACCGCAATGTGCAGCACGGTCAAGCCGCTTTTGTTGCATACATTCAACGGCGTCTTGCCGTATCGCATGAGCTGCAGCGCAATCTTTTCGAGATTTTGGCCCATTGCGAGGTGCAGGACGGTGCAGCCATTCGCGTCCATCGACTCGAACAAGCCCGGCGGTCCGCTACACGGTCTCAATTCTATGTCCCTCTTGTGACGACGACGTACGCAGTGATAAAGGCGTCAATGAGCGACTCGAGGTGGAAAAACGTGCTCTCGTGCTTGAGGGCGAGGTGCAAAGCGTTGTGGCCATTCAAATCGAACACCGTGATGCTCTCGGGTGTCATCGCTTTGAGCAAGACGCGTACACAGCGCGTGTAGCTTCCAAGAACCGCCAAGTGCAGCGGCGTTTGCCTAACCCCAAACAGCGCATGAGTCATGAAAAAGGCGTCCAATAAGACACAAATACGATACAAATACGACGCAAATACGATACAAATACGACGCAAATACGACATCAAACGCTTGGAAACATCGACAGTGGGTACCCGAGAGACGTCAGTGTATGTGCAAAGTGGCGCGTCATATCGTGTTCGAGAAGCCGACGCAATACGTCAACGTGACCGCCTTCCGCCGCCAAATGCAAGAGCGACTTGCCGTCGTCGTTGACGTACTGCAGCTCGGTGTCGAGCGACGACGCGCCGTGGGCCACCAAGAGGTCAAAGATTTGGACATTTTTGAGGGCCGCACGGTACATCGACTGGATAAGATTGTCATATTGTGCGTGCTGTGACGAATGGAAGTTGATATACCTGCATGTACGGGTTGGTGCTACTTGGGTATTTGGCCGATGGGTCCGCGCCCGCCTCGAGCAAGAGGCGCAGCAGCGTCAAGTCGGTCAGCATGCACGCCTTGACGAGCGGTGTCACGCCGTCGTTGCTGATGTTGCTCAAGAGCATGCTTCGTGGAATCTCGGCGCCGTCCCGGAGCGCGTACCGAATATACTCATAGTACTTGGAGTCGAGCGCCATGTTCCATAGCTCGAAATTGCTGGACGCGGCTTGGTGCTAATACGAATATGTAGAGAGCAAGGTAGAAACGACGATAGGAAAACAGAGGACTACAGTACCTTGGAGAGCGCTTCAATCTGGCGCGCGAGGTTCGCCGCCGCCTTCTTGGACGCAGCACGCTCGTCGCCGTTCCAGCGCTTGGCAAAAAAGTCTTCCCACGCCATGCTTCGCGCCTCTTGCGCCATCGCTTTGGCGTCGCGCATGCGCTGCAGTGCCACATACGCGTCGACATCTTCGCTGATCTCAATGTACGCAAGCGGGATGAGCACCGTCGAGTTGCTCGCGCGGAAGTCGTCCGGATCGTCGCTCATATTTCGACTAAATTTAGAGGGCGTACTGCTCCTAGTTTTCACATCAGCCACTATTCGCTCATCATCACATTTGGGATAAGGTCTTGCCCCAACGCATTGTTCTACTACTCGGTCGCTGCTGTACCAATCATCGACTCACTGGAAGACGAACGACACGCTGTGGCAGACGCAATTGTCGATAAAAGTTGGGTACTTCATGCTTGTTACGGTTAGTACATTGTGTATCACGACACGACGCAGCCGGCACGCGTCTTCTTACCGTTGGTTCGCTGCTTGGACGGCGCGAGTGGTCGTGGCGGGTCGTTCGTGTCGCTCACGACCGCCTTCACCGGTGCATGTGGCGTCTCGTCGTCATTATCCTCGGACGCGGCGCGGTCGGCTGTCGTAATGTCGTCAAACTCGGCCTCTTCCATGCGCAGCTTCTCGCTCGATTTCTTCTTCATCGTCGTCGTCGGCTTCATTTGGTGTCGGGCTTTGGCGTTATTGGTCTCCTTTGTCTTGGCCTCTTGGAGCGCGATGCTCTTCTTGGACGACTGCTGGACCTCGGACGTGAGCGTCGCAATGTCAGCGACAGGCGCGACATGGTCCTGGCCTTTCCGGAGGTACCGCCGCACAATGTGTTCAAAGATGGTTTCGACATTGAGATTTGCTTGGACGCACGTCTTGAAGAGGCGAACGCGGAGTCGGTCCTTCATGGCATCGACTTCGTCTCTACGCGATATGCATGAGCGGAGCGGAAGGTTGCGACGAAGTCAAACGTGGTCATGGCGGCGTCGTCGATAAGGTCGATTTTGTTTTGGACAAGCACTTGGGTGAGCGACCGGCCGCACTCGTCAAACACCTTTTGCTGCCAGGACGGCAGTGCTTCAAACGACGCGCGGTCGGTCGTCGAGAAGACGTACACGGCGGCGCCCGCGCCCTTGTAGTAGCGCGACGTGAGCGCGTCAAACTCTTCTTGGCCGGCCGTGTCCCAGATCATGAGCTGGACGTCGTCGCCGTCGACGTTGACCGTGCGCTCCATAAAGTCGACGCCAATCGTCTTCTTGTACGAGCTCGTGAAGCGACCTTTGGCGTACTGCGTCGTCAAGCTTGTCTTGCCCACATTGCCGTTGCCGAGCACGATGACCTTGACCGTCTCTATATCATATATAGTGGTCATGACGCAGACAGAATGGTGGCCTACTCTCAAAGTCATCGCAGTCCATCATCTCATCGCTCATGTCGCCCGGAGGATAGTGTACGAAATGAGGTCGAGGCTAAATCTGGCAGCGGTTATGACGCGAACGATCTTCCCATCTCCGTTGTTGCGCTTGATCGTCGTCGCTGCCGGCGACCAGCAAGTCGTGGCCGCAGGATGTTTGGGATGCGAGCTGCCCGTCCTCGCGTACATGTACTAGTCTGTGCTTAGGTCTGGCCTGCCCAGCAGCGTGCCACGTACGCTTGGTACACGTTCGGTGTGCGCCTCGGGCGAAAGCCCATGCAATGCAACAGGTCGAAACGCGCTCGTTGGGTGACAAGGATGGCGACGTTGTCGTCGTGTCGAGCGTCGGCTACGTTGGGCGATAACGCGTGCGAAGATTGCCATTGTCCTTGGCCGCGATCTCTGCGACCTGTCCACCGTTTATGCATAGCACTGTGTGTCGTATTAAATGAGGGATTACAGAATGGCGCCGACGGCCTGCGCGCTGTAGTAGACAAGCGCGCTGAGCACGAGAAGGACCACCGAGTCTAGTACAAGCGTCGTTAGTCGTCAAGAAGAGAGGTTGGAGACGGACGTACTGAAGACGAGGACTTCCCACTGCGAGAGGAGCGTCAGGCCAAACTCGAGCTTGTACCAGTTGTACTGCCGGGCGACGAACGAGATCATTGTGCTGCTGCCGACGATGGAAAATGGGCTCTGCCACCGGCGAAAGAGGTCCGGCAGCGACGCCCATACTATAAAAAGCATTGGGTTGTACTTGAGGTTTGTATGCGAAATAAAATTCATGCGAAACAGTATGCAACGCCGCATGATTGCGTCATCATTTCGCAGTAGACAGGCGAGCACGGACAGGGAGCGCACGACGCTGCCGCCCAGCCATGGCCAAGGGCCTTCGCCCGCGTACGCATGCCTGTAGCCGCGAGACATACCAGCGTCGTACGTCCGCGCTTGGTGCCAGGCGACCCCTAGGCGGGAACGGTGCTCCTGGTCCATGCCAGGTCGAGCATTGGCACGGCCATGGCGCCTGTGGCAGCGCACCAGAGCCCTTGTGCTCCGAAAGAGGAAGAGGATGCACGCTGTAGCCATGCAGGATGGCTGATGGTGAAAGCTTTCGTGTCGCGTGGAGGGCAGTCTGTGGTCGCGTGGAGCTATCGCAACAGCGTCGTGCCGCACTACCGGTACGCGTGTTTGCCGAGCGCATAGCCCAGCGCACTCGACTCTGTGGTTGGCAGACATGGTGGACAAGCTCAGTCGTTCGATGCTCCTTCATGGCAAGGGATCCTGTGCGACCCTGCCAATGCGCAGGTCGCGTCGTGTAGGGTGTAAGCGCCTCGGGACAACCATGCTCTACGCCTGCTATCAACACTGAGGGTGCGCTGATCCGGCGGTGTTCACCATACTCGAATTGGCGGTGCATTGTCCGTCGGCCACCTTTTGTCCACTCGGTGGATTCCTGCTTCACACGCAGGAGGTGCGGGGTTCGAGCCCGTAGATGTTGTCCCTTCCTTCTCTATCCAGCCCATTGGCGTTGGCATCATCACCGTCTCGTCGGTGCTTGTCAGACTTGCGCTCGCCTGTTGTGCCCAGCGATGATGCCAAGTACGGTCGTTCATGGTCGCAACAACATCCCTTGACCTACGCCTGCTCGTATGCACGTGCATGGCGACTGCACCACCGAGCGGCCGCGTTTATGCAACGGTGGCCGTCGGCCATCCATGCGACCCGGCGTCGTGAGCTGTCCCCATCAGCATACCTCGGCGATGTGTAGCTCCATACTGCGCAAAGCAGCGGCTCGCTATGGCGTTCGTTCCGCATGAGATGCTAGTCGCGTGCCACATAGGCGGCGCGTGGGCTCTGCGTGGTCAGCGTTGGAGGCGCATCGTCATCGTCCATCGTCGAGCATCGTGGTCGTGGTCTAGTCCGGATACGCTGCCACCAGCATCCGGTCGATTGGAAATTGCAGGATTTTGGCCAATGAAACTTGGCGCGCCGCACGTCTACTAAACCTTCGCCACACTTTGCGATCGATATGTGGCGTCAACTGAGCTCGAAGAGCGCGCGCCTGACTCGCGCCGCCAGCACGGCCGCGCCCAAGGCCACGCCGCCGACGCCGCCGAAGCCGGCCGCGCCGATGCCCAAGGCCGTCCCGCAGCCCGCGCCCGGCAGCGGCAACGCGGTCTATGGCGTCCTCTTCGCGACCGTGACGACGACGATTGGGTGGGGCGCGTACATCAAGCAGAACCCGACCTTCAACCCAGACGCGGTCAAGGACAATGTTGCGTGGGCCAAGTTCCGCGAGTTTGTGCTCACGACGGTCCCGCCGACGCAGGCGCTGCCCGAGACGATCGTCGTCGCCAAGCCCAAGCCGGCCGAGAAGCAGCCGGTCAAGAAGGAGGCCGAGAAGCCCAAGGTGGCGGAGAAGAAGACGGTCGAGAAGAAGGAGTCGGCGCCGATCGAAAAGAAGGAGGCGGTCACGATTGCCAAGAAGGCGACTGTCAAGGACGCCGTCGCGGCCAAGAAGGCGGTCGTCGCCAAGACCGAAGCCAAGCCCGAAGCCAAGATCGAGGCCAAGGTTGAGGCTGCCGAAGCCAAGGTCGAGAAGGCGGTCGTCGAGGCCGAAGCCGCCGTCGTTGCGCAAGTGGCGGCGGCCAAGGCTGCCGTGGCCGAGGTCGTGCCCGCGCTTCCGACGGCGCTCAAGAAGAAGCTCGACGAAGCGTCTGCGAAGGAGAAGGCCGTCATCGACGCGCTCAACAACGACCTCCTGACGTTCGAAGAGAAGGCCAAGGAGACGCTCGCCGCCACCAAGGTCTGTTGCTGCCCATATCTAGCCTCTCACTCACAGCGACGTGCCCCTAGAACACGGTGCTGAAGAAGGCGCGCGCCGAAGCCGACGCGATGAACGAGGAGCTCGACCAGTCGATGCTCGCGGGCATCAAGGACCTCGACGCCGACATGCTCCGCATGCGCGTGGCGCAGCTCGTCACCGAGATGAAGCACCGCACCAAGTGGGAAGCCATGCGCCTCATGGAGTCGCTCAAGCGCATGGAAGAGGATGTCCAGGCCAAGGTGTGTACCTCAACGCGCCTATTCTGTGGCCTCTTATATATGGTGTCGTAGCACTTGGAACTGTTGCAGCAGCAGGACAAGCTCCACAAGGAGCTCCTCTCGCGCGAGCTGCGCCTCCAGGAAGAGGTGCTACACTCCGATCGTCTTGTTGCATTCGGCTCATATCGATGGCTACAGATTCTCACGCGCACGGCGCGTGACGAGCTCGATGCGTTCCGCACCAACCACGAGTCGCAGCTCAGCGTGCTCGTCAACCAGCAGCAAGCGCTCATCCAGGCCGAGTACGCCAAGAAGCTGTCGGCCGTCCAGGAAGAAGCCGACCGCAACGTCATTGCGCTCGTGACGGCCAAGACGGACGAGCTCGAAGCCAAGTTCCAGGCCGAGCAAGAGAGCCGTCTCCAGGTACCCTTTCGGTCCACCACGACGTGTCTCACGAGTCTTTGTAGGAACTCGAGTCGTTCCGCATCCAGCTCCGCGCCGTGAACGAGCTCTTGGGCCAAACGTCGACGTACGAAGCGTTTAGCCACCAAGTGCACAAGGTGTCGGTCGCGGCGCTTGCGCTCACAGACCGCATCGAAGCCGCCGCGCCGCTCCACAGCGAGGTGCGCGCCGCGTGGATCCCAATATCTCTCATGTGTCGTGCGTAGATTCGCGCGCTGGCGGCCGCGGGCAAGGGCGACCACCTCCTCGAGGTCGCTGTCGCCTCGATGGCCCCGTTCGCCGAGGGTGCGCCGTCGGTGGCGCAGCTCCAGGACCGCTTTGCATATGTGCGCAACGCCGGTCGCCGCGCCGCGCTCGTGCCGGACGAGTGCCACGGTATGCTCGGCCACCTCTTTGCGGGTGCGCTGCTTTGGCTTTTGATCCCGCCGGGCGGCCCGATCAAGGGCGACGACGCCGAGGCCATTTTCTCGCGCGCCGACTATGCGCTCCGCGCCGGCGACATTGAAACCACCGTGAAGGAGCTTGACACGCTCTCGGGTCTCCCCCGCGAGGTTGTTGCCGACTGGGTCGGTGCGGCCAAGTCGCGTCTCACGATCGAACAGACGTCCAAGGTCGTCAAGGCGCACGTGTCGCTCCTCGCTGCGAGTTTGTCGTAGAGGCATTATTGATACACATCGCTTCGTGGTGCTTTGGCGACGTCTGCAACCCACAAACACTGAACGTGCAAAGGCAAGCTGCGTTAGTCGCGGGAAATGAAGTGGCGGGTCACGCCGCAAGGCCATGGTCGTCGCCATCGTCGTCGTTGGGCGGAAGCCGGTCGGCGGCCGTAAAGGAGAACCGACGAAAGAGAGGCGACTCGGGCGCGAGCGCGCCGCCCGATTCGATGGTTGCCTTCATTTTGGTAAAGCTGTCGGCAAAGCAGCTCGTGTCAAGGGAGCTGGTCACGGACGGCACCACGGGCGGCGTCATGCGCTTGCGCTCGAGGAGTCCCCAGTCAATGTCCTACACGCAGCATACGAGCGTCCCGCAACACACGCATTTGTGTACCTTGAAGAACGGGTGTTTCTTGATGGCTGCGACGCCGCGCACTTGGAACATGGTCGACTTGCCCGAGCCGAGACGCTTCTCGACGTTGCGCTCGAGTAGCTGCTTGAGAATCGAGTGCGTCTCGGGGCTCAGCCACTTGGGTAGCTTGAGCTACACGGGCTCATTCGATATACAGCCGACCACTGGCGTCGCGCACCTTTTCCTGCAGAATTTTCTCGAGCAGCTTCTTGCGGTTGTTGTGGCGAAAAGGCGGGTACCCCGTCACCATTTCGTAGATGAGCGCACCGAGGGCCCACCAGTCGACCGCGTGGTTGTACGCGTTGCCTCGGATCATTTCGGGCGCCATGTACTCTAGAGAAGCGTGTCAGGGCTAGGGTCCGAGGCGTCCGAGAACCGTTGGTGCCACACACGGTGTTGGCTTCGTTGGCCTAGACATTGTCTTTTCGAGTGGCGTTGGCATCGCAACATGGCGGTACCTCGGGGAGTTCCTTGGACAAGCCAAAGTCGGTGAGGCACACGTGGCCGTCGGCATCGACGAGGATGTTTTCGGGCTTTAGATCTCTACGTGACGTGCTTGGTTCATAGACAAGAAGGGTATAGTCGTGAACTTGCCGATGGATGATGCCCATGCCATGGAGGTACTCGAGAGCGAGGACCATCTCAGCTGCGTAAAAGCAGGCTGTCCGCTATACAGTCCATGATGGTGTATGAGGAGTGGAGCGCGATGAGCGGTCGTACTTCGAGAAGGAGACCTTGCTTGCTCAATGTGTGAAAGAGCTCGCCGCCGGGCACATATTGCATGACAAGGAACACATTGTCCGCGGTTTGAAATGCAAATTGGAGCGAAATCAGAAACGGGTGGTTGACTTTGGTCATAATGTCGCGCTCGGTCTGCATGTTGGAGATCGAGTTCTTCTTGACCAAATACTCTTTGCTCACAATCTACAACGTTGGATTCAGAAGAAGGACACTGTTGTGCAGTGCAAAGGACCTTCATGGCGTAGATCTCGCCCGTCGGTGTATACCGCACTTGAATGACCTAGTCAAGTGTCGGCTGTCACGACGACATGGCATGTAAGATAGAAGACCTTGCCAAACGCGCCTTGGCCAATGACGCACAGCAGCTCAAAGTCGGACGGGCGATGTGTCGTACTCGCCTCGGTCGACACGCTGAGTTTGCTCAGGCGGCGGCTCACGTGGTCCGCGAGATTGGTTTCGATCGAGCGCGCAAAGTCCACCGACTCTCGGCGCGAGACGCCCAAGGCGTGGCGACTACAAGGAGATCGCAACGTCCATGAGCCGCGCCTCGCACCATGCGCCTACGTAAGCGTCTCCTCTGGCGCATGGGCAGCCAGCGCGGGTGTCGTTGCCATGGTCGCCAAAAAGTGCACCCAACAAAATGCCCTTTTGAAATGCAGCCAGGGAAATCGTTGAGGCTAGAAACACCCAACACCATTTTAGACCGCACCGGATCGCGCTCATCAACATAGCGAGACATGGCCGTCATTTCGCGCGGTATGCTCTCTCGAGATGCACTGTGTACGGTCACGACTGCCCTACGCGCGCAAGTTTTGCGCAGATAGCGGCCATGCTCTTGTCTTGACCTTGCATGCAGGTGCTGGCATCGATAACGACACGCAATTTTACATGCGCCATCGCTCCTGTCGCTACACACAAAGTGATCTCAACCTCGTTAGCACCAACACCGACGCGGACCTGCCCAAGCTGTTGCGTACGCGCCATCACGTCGCCGCACCGGGCATTGCCGTGGTGCGTGCTGCGCGTGGAGCGCTGGACCTCTGAAAAACATGCGCATCCGGGCCACGATCCTCAAATATTAATTGTGAGAGGTTTTGAATTGGATGCTTTTGGTTGGTGGCGAGGGAATCGCGGCGCGTGATTGGCCAGCCATGTTTACTGGTGAGGAGCTACCAATTTATACCGAGGCCAAATGTAAGGGCAATCTCAGTTCTTTTCATTCCTTTCTCCTACGACTGAAAAAGATGGCCAAGCGTACGTCGCCGCCGGCGCAATAAGAACCGAGTTGCTCAATGTGCATCGTGTGTAGACAAGCCCGCCGGTATCCGTTGCGCCCGCAAGCTGCGCGTCCACCGCCGCACGCAGCGCTGGAACCAGAAGTCCTACAACAAGTCGCACTCGATCACGGCGATGAAGGCCAACCCGCTCGGTGGTTCGTCGATGGCCAAGGGCATCGTGCTTGAGAAGATTGGTATTGAGGCCAAGCAGCCCAACTCTGCCATTCGCAAGTGCGCGCGTGTCCAGCTCATCAAGAACGGCAAGAAGATCGCCGCCTTCGTCCCCCGCGATGGTTGCTTGAACTACGTCGACGAAAACGACGAGGTGCTCATTGCCGGTTTCGGTCGCCGCGGCCACGCCGTCGGTGATATCCCCGGTGTGCGTTTCAAGGTCGTCAAGGTCGCCGGCGTCTCGCTCCTTGCCCTGTACAAGGACAAGAAGGAGAAGCCCCGCTCGTAAATGCACGGCGACTCGAACACGACGACGCTGCTGTCAGTGTCTCCTGTTTGTGTTCCGTGGCGCGTGGTGACGATAGCTGCCATGCGCACGAACCTGTGTCTCTGGGAGATTAATACAAAAGGAATCAGTTCGCATGGGTGTTGACACGCGCAAGCGACCCGCACGTGGAGGGCAGGACGCCGGAGCGAGCTCGCCAACCTCCCGCGACGAGTCCTGCGTCGTCGAGGGCCGCGTTGCCCTCGCCGCCCATTCCAGATACCGTACCAGTGTTGCGACGTCCAAGGCCTTGTGGACTGTGGAGCCAGCCGCACACGTCGCCGTTGCTAAGAAGGACGAGATGCCCGTTGTGTTGTCGTAGCAACGTTGTCCATCTCAAGTGCTGTGATGTCCTTGAGGGTGTTCGGCCGACGGTGTCAGGCCAGCCAGTGACGTGCGCCACTGGTCCACGGACGCTATGCTACGAAGTGTTGGTTGAATCCGCAAACGCACGGACGCACCAGCGAGACTCTGGCAGCACAAGCTCGATGCGGTGAGACCGTACAAGAATGGAGAATCCGAACCAAGGCGCCATAGGCGCTGGGAACGCCATCCAGCTGATGATGATCTTGGTCGCGCGTTGGTGGACCGACAGGTCGACATGACTGCAAGCGTGCTTCGACGTCTGCGATAATGGTAAAGTTGGCCGAGCAACCGCGTCGGCAAC